AGTTTATTTGAAGTTTTCTCCATGTTTATTGCAACTTTTGTAATCCATATGTTATTATGTTAACTGAACACCACCTACTGTGTGTTAATAATAGTTTATCCTACATTTGCAAACTTGCACTTTCAAACCCTTACTTGAAAAAGCCTTTTCAGTCAAATTTTTGTTAGGTGTTGCGTCTCAACACATTCATATACTTATTTCCAATTCCTCAACGACATTTTGGCACCGCTGGTTCGAAACTCTTGAAGATTTCAAGATTCATACATACAATTGCAGTTGCAGTCTTTTGTTTTGATGTCAGTGTATAATCAGTCGCACCATCGATGATGATACATGGTCCACTCAACATAACCACATATTGGGGGTTAGTGCAGATTTAACGTGTACACGACGGTTGTTGTGTATTTGTTGTTGTATGTTGTATTTTGTTGTAATATGTAATTCTGCAACAAGAAAGATCTTGGAGGGAGCACTTTTTATACGGAAAATCGATTTTCCATAAATAACACAAGCTTAAAACAACAAAACATAGACTACAGTAATGTTGGAGAAGGAGAATAGACCAAAGAAGAACTGACATTTGAAATTAGTGTCTCACAATGTGAGTGATGGGAGAATACATTTGCAATCAGTGGAATGCATTGGAACGGTTAAAAAATATGAATTGAATCGTTTTTACGTTATCTCGACTGACAGACTGGAATATCTGCTGTTTCTGTACATATATTTTTTGTGGTATTGTTGCATAAAGTAGTTTGTTCACGAACCAGTTCCTAGAACTGAACGCAACTTAATGAAACGGACTAGAAAGCACATCACTATTTCATGTAATCCAAGGAGGGACAAATTGTCATTTCATCACACCAGTGATGAGAGAATCGCAAGCCTTAGATTCGCTTTGCTTCTGTGGCTCAGAGATATAGTGTTTTCTTCTGATAAAACTAGCGTAGTTTTTGTGTTTAAAATACTCTACCTTAGTCAATACCGTTGATCCTAAATTTGTTTCCAAAACAACATTAAACAACTCTCATGTCGTGTCGCGTGCAGTGCAGTAATGCAAGGAAGCATATTTTTATCTTTTCTTTGTTCTTTTCCGTGTTACTATGATGAATCATCGAAAAAACATAATAGTAAACCACGAGCAAACAGCATGGCTGCATTCAAAGATGGAAATCAAAGCAGAAGACAGTAGACAACACCAGCCCGAGTTGCTTCAAGTTCTGTATGTTTCTACAATGAGTGAAAAACATGAATATATAAATTGGTTCTGTCCAACTCTAGTTTCACTGAAAGAAAACGCGATTGAATAGCTTGGTAATATTTAACAGTTTAGACCATACAAGGCTGATTTCAGTAGCTTCAAGTTGCCTCACAAGTCAGATATTTTGCACTTTCCCCGCAACCCTGGCGCCTATGGTCCTCGATACCTGCTTCAGAAAGGTTTTTTCACTCGCTTGACTGTTGGTTATGTTTATATTTTTACTGGGGATCTTCAAATTTTTCAAAGATTTTTCAGACCCATGGATGTTCTAGAAATGCATCGATATCAATAAAAAATTTCCATAACACACTTAAACCTGATTTCGACACATGTTCCATGCGTGTCAGATGGGACTCTTATTTGACCGTTCCTTTTGGCACCTGAGAAAAATCACTTTCCCCACTTGCAGTGCGGTGAGTCATCCAGTTATTTTCGTTCACTGATCAGTATGAATAAAATGTACCATCACTATCCAAGTCATGACTCAGTGACTCAGTTATTTGGTCAGAACAACACTGTTGCCAGCCTTAGCGATTTTAGTATGCTTGAGCGACTTTTTTTCTCGACTGGTCCGCTGGCGATTTCCAGCAATATTTTTGGCTACATTGGTAATCCCATTAAGGTTCGCCTTTTTACAGTTAAAGTCTTTTCAAATGCCGTGTGCAGCTAGTGATTATGTTGCGCCCCCAGCCATCATACAATGGAAGTAGGAAGCTTCCTCTGTATATATAACATACAATATGTTTAGTCACGACATACCGATATTTAAGGAGGGACTTTTTCAGGTATTTTTATCGACAAATCCACCCTCCTACGATGTCCTACCTCACCCCCTTTGAAATGGCAGCCATTTTTATTTTTACGTTACGATTACGCTAGTGCGTGTATGAAAATTGTAATAACTGAGAACATAAGAGTCACAGAATGATACATTTGGTGTCATTTGAACGATAACATGTTGTTCTAGCGATTATTGAAAAACTTGTATTGATACTAACCGTCAAACATACTTAAAAACAGACAAAAACAGAAAAAAATATGCAAGAAAATTGATTATTTTGTGCATTTCCGCACACCATTCAAAAACGAGTTGGCTAAGTTGTACTTTTTTGTGCTATTTCTACTGCTATAGGGTAAACCAGGGTGAGATGGTGATAAAAAATTAAAACTCTTTTAAAAGAAAAACTTAAATATATTAGATATTGCGAATAATCGCATTGCATCGAGATACACATAAAAAACTTATCCTAAATCGAAAGACAACAAATTTTGACATGTAACAAAAATAATTTTCATTTAAAAGTAAAGGGTGTGACCCCATCTCCCCCAACATAATACGGGTTAGATGGTGATGTGGGTAGGGGTCAGTTGGTGATACATCAATTTATGGAAGTCTATTTTTTGCGAGCCGTTATACGTCCACAGGGCTCACAAATATTCAAAAATGAGGTGCAGTCGTCGTGTAGCCAACGATTGCA